GACTGGATTCCTAACCAAGTCTAACTTATAATAATTTTTAAATAATTATAATTATGTATATTATCATTAATATTGATTAATAAAATTAGAAGCTAAGCCTTCAATTCAGAGTCATTAAAAAGGTCTGCGGCCATGTCTACTAGGTGCTTGGGAACAATTTCATATTAATTGGGGAACAAGTAAACTGAAATCTGTAAGTACCTCCATAATTTCTGTGTTCCAGGCACGGTGCCAGGCCCTCTCACATACTTTATTTTATCTTCCCAACGAAGCAGGGAGGCAGTGCACTAGTTAGGATGACGCCAGCTGCTGTGAAAATGCACCTAAAATGTGCAAAGGCTCAGCGGCAGCAGAGGCTACTCCTCGGCACACCCAGTCACGGCGGAGGCTCCTGGTCGGCAGGAGTTCCTCTCCATGCAGTGACCATGCCGGGACCCCGGCTCCTTCAACCTGGGGTCTGCCAGCCACGAGGGCCCTAATGTCCCCTGCACTCAGCTGCCACAAGGTCAACAGAGCTTACAGGGGACACACCACCTTCTTCACACCCTGGATGCAGAAGTGTGAACCTCCCTGAGCTCACTCACACCCAGCTGCTAAGAGGGTGCGAGTGTAGCTAGAAAGACGAGGAAATGGATTTGGAGAAGGGCTTGAAGCCTCTCCCACGTGAGGGATCTGCAGGTGAAGAACAAGAGACTCAGGCTGGTGAGGGACAGAGTCAGGGTTGGGGCTCAGGTCCCTCTGAGCCCACGTCCCACTCACGTGCCCTTTCTCTACGCTGCACGAATTGCTGATAGGGACGCAAACCCAAATGGCCTTTCTTCTAGTGGTGCTTACAGTCCTGCAGGGAACACTCTACACACTGCGAGCACGATTCCACGTGGAATGGAACAGAATGAAAATTGCCACGACAGTGAGGGCCATAGCCGGCTGGTCACTTGGTGCCACATGGAGGAGGGACAGGGGCACAATGCCCAGGTGGGATATAGCACCCTGGTGGCACATGGCACCCAGGTAGGTCATGGTGTTCAGGTGGGACACGGCACCCAGGTAGGTCATGGCGCTCAGATGGGACACAGCACCCAGGTAGGTCATGGTGCTCAGGTGGGACACAGCACCCAGGTAGGTCATGGCGCTCAGGTGGGACACGGTGCACAGGTAGGTCATGGCGCTCAGATGGGACACAGCACCCAGGTAGGTCATGGTGCTCAGGTGGGACACAGCACCCAGGTAGGTCATAGTGCTCAGGTGGGACACGGCGCACAGGCAGCTCCAGCAATAACCTGAGTCAGGGCCTGACGTGGGAATAAGCGCTGGCCACAGTGTTGCTGCTGGCACAGCCCTTCCTGAGAGCAAACTGGGTGAGGGAGCTATGGGAGCAACATGACTGCTTGCTGGAGGGTGAACCTCAGTTTCCCCAGCAGGGCCCCATCTCAGGGCATCACAAAGAGGAAGATGGAGTTGATGAAGACAGCTTTTGGGGCTGCTCCCAAGGAGAGGAGGGAAACATCCTGAAAGGGTGGGTTCCCGGATGGCTCCATCCCAGTCCTCCAGGCCCCACAGTCCCCGCAGAGCCCCACCCTTCCTCCTGCCCACACTTCTCAGTCCCTGGAGCCCCAGTCTCAGGGCTTCCTTGCTGAGCCGTCTGAGCCAGGGAGCCTCAGAGGCACACGGTGTCCTGGAGGCCTGTCCCTGCCCAGCCTCCCCCGTCTAGGGTCTTAGGCTGACCCTCCCTCCAGGCCCGCGTCCATCTGTTTAAAAAGAAAAGAGGCTGTGTGACTTCAGCCCTAGCAGCCTGCGGCCCACAGTTGGAGGGGCCTGGCCATCCCTCAGCCTAGCTCCTGGGGACAGGTGCCCAGGGTGGGGCAGGGACTCATCCAAGGCTGCCAGGCACCGCAATAAACAGGTGTGTTTGTGCTTCCCGGGAACGGTGTGCTGGCCGCCCTCCCCCATGTCAGTGTTTCCGCGGTGCTTTTATTGACCAGGGAGATACGGAGCCAGGGAAGTCTTGGGCACAGAACCGGGCTAGAACCAGGTACTGGTCAGGGGCATAACCTGGCTTTCTCCAGTGAAGAAGTCTCCTCCTGCCCCCAGACAGCTCGGCCCTGGGCAGCGAGCCTCTTGCCATGGCCCAAACCTCGCAGTGCATCAGACTCACCCAGGGGATCCGAAGTGCCAGTGTGGCCCCCACTCCCAGAGACTTCAGTGTCATCGGTTTGTGGCGAGGCGCAGGCACACGGAAGGCCTCTGGTGACCCCCGCGTGAGCCAGGGTGGAAACCCACCGGGCTAACTGGGGTCAGACACCCGACGTGTGGTGTTTTCCCGCTTCAGCGGTGTAAATCTCTCACCAAACTGCCACACTTCAACACCCAGCTCACCAAATTCCTCCCAGCGAACGCCAGGCTCTCAGGAGCCTGGGGAGCCGGCTCTCGCACCTGCTCGTCACCCACAGGGCACCTGTGCCATGACGTCTCCTGGTTGGAACATGACAGGACCAGAAGGAAGCTTCCAGGCAGTCAAAACAAAAAGTCTCAAAGCCTGTGCCCCACAGCTGAGATCTGATTTTAAAACGATGTTCTAGAAAGGGAGACAGAAAGGAAACGCTTGCCCGAAATGGAAGGTGGGGTCAGAACACGCCACGGGATCGTTTAATTAAGGGGCAAAAAGCGCTCAGCTCAAAGGCAAAAGGAAGGGCTTAGCACAGCGGTGACACGCCAGACAGTGGCTCTGAGAGTGAGGGACTCTAAGAAGGCGGGTCTGAGGGCGAGATCTCGGGAGACAAAAGAGCAGATGTGAGAAGACACGAACAATGCCCGGGGCTCGAGGCTGGCGCCGGCACCTGAGCTGGCCGCCAGCGTGTAAACTCTGCGCCTCCCACAGCCTTTCCTCCCACAAGGCCAGGAAAACAACTCTCGATGGGTTTTCGTCTATTGAAAGCGTGGCCTTGACTGGCTCCCACAGCCGGCGGAGCAGACTGACCGAGCACGGCGGAGACTGGCCCGCAGAGGCCCCTATTCCGGGGAGAGACAGCGCTCGGGAGCTGAGTCCGGCTGGGCAGTGCTGTTGGGGACTTGACCTTGGAGCCCTGCCCCGACCCTGAGAAGGGGCCAGGGATGTGCATCCGTGACCGTTTTTGGTGGCCTGCCATAAAATGAGAACATGTTTGCGGGGTGGGTTTCTCCTAAAGCAAAGCGTGTCTGACGTGAAGAGCCAGTCTGTGTGCCGAGGTGTGTGACTGCATCTGTGCTTCTCTGGAGCTCTGGGGAGAACGGAGGGCGGTTGCTCTTGTTTTCAAATGTCCTCCTTTGAGCTGGGCATGGTGGCTCACGCCTATGATCCCAGCACTTTGGGAAGCTGAGGTGGGAGGATCACTTGAGGCCAGGAGTTCAAGACCAGCCTGGGCAACATAGTGAGGCTCCATCTCTAAAAAGAAAAAAGAAAGAAAGAAAAAGAAATGTCCTCCTTTGGTATAAAGGGAAATTGGTGACACTTGTGGCTCCTCCGCTGGCTGGAGGAAAGGGGACATGATGGCCTGGGAATGCCGGAACCTGGAGGCCCCTCACTGACACGTGAGACCTCAGAGGTGCACGGTGGAGCAGCTCACAGTTGGAACTGGGGCTCCGGGATGCAGCGTCTGCCCCAAGCTCTGGCTCCTCCAGGCCTCGGTGTTGTGGGTGCTGTGTGCGTTCCCTGTGGTGGCCGTTCGTGCCATGGTGCCAGATGCCCGGAGGCCACCGACCTGGAGTTGAATAGCGGGGGTGTCTCGCAGCTCTCTGGGTCGAGGTGGGGCCTGGTCTTGGGGCCTCAGCCAGCAGGCTGCTCTGCTTGCTCTGTCACAGCTGCCAGTGCTCCTCCTGCAGCCCCAGGAGCACAGGATCCAGCTGTGTAGGTCCTGTGAGAACCTTCTGGAACATAGACCTACCCTGTGCCCTAGCAAGCTCCTGTGTTTGCACCCAACAGGAATGTGTGCATTAGTGCAACAAAAGCATGTCCTAGGATGTTCTTAGTAGCACTATTTGTACCAGCCCCAAAATGAAATGACCCAAATGCCCATCGACAATAGAACGGTAGAATGGATTAGTACATCACAGTAGAGCCGTACACTGGACTGCCATACAGAAAGGAGAATGCTTTGCTCATTGAAATATTTGCTCCTGGAGCCTCTAGTCACCATGTAAGCAACCAGGCTACTAAGGAAGCCCAAAATAGCCCAGGAGAGGAGACTACATGGAAGGGCCTTGAGACTATAAGAAAAGAGGCGTCAGCTCCAGCCGTTCCAACTCTAGGCAAGTCTGGCTGCAATCATGTGAGGTCCCAAGTGAGAACTTTTCAGTTGGACACTTCTCAAATCCCTGCCCACAGAAACCGTGCAAGAGAATAAAATGTTGACGGTGTTTTAAGCCGCTATGTTTTGGGCTGATTTCTTACACAGCATAGATTAGCTGGAACACCCTGTCTGCCGCGACCTGTGGAACACAGGCAGGAATCCCACGTGAGAGGGCTCTGGGCTGGACCCCGATAATGAAGGGGGTGGTCAGAGCTCAGTTCGCCGCAGGGGTCCCTGCAGCTGCCAGCACCGCCTGGCAGGGTGCTGTAGCCTGGGTGAGCAGCGAGGGAGGATCAGGAGAGGCCCCAGGAGTCTCGGGCCAAGAGTGAAGGGCAGGTGAGGAGACAGGGGAGGGGCGTCCTCTTGCGCCCGGGCTCACGCTGCAAAGTGGGGTGAATGACCATGGCCTGAATTTGACTTGTGAAACCAGAGGAAGTCAATGGACTCTGAAGCCCTGGAAAAGCTCAGGGAGCTAACAGGATTTTAATATTTCAGGAGCTTCTGGGTCGCAGTTGAAATGCTGTTCAAGAGGCTTGCAAAGTACAGGGCCATAACCAGCGTCACTCAGCTGTGCATCCCAGGGGCTCAGACGGCAGCTTGACCTTCTCATGCTGGCACTGCCAGGTGGGTGACACAGAGCCAGGCAAACCTGGGTCCTGGCATGGTTACATCCTTTCATGAGGCCAAGCGGTGGCTCAGGGAGGCCCCAGAGGAGAGGATGCCCTCTGGGAGCACAAAACCAGGGCCCAGGTTGGCAGGGGCTTGGGAGCGGGGCTCTGGGTACAGAGAGGCCCTGTGGCCTCAGCCAGGGCCTCTCAGCCAGGTCTCAGGAGCTGGGACAAGGGACAAAGGGAGGATTTGGCCTCAGAACAGAGCAATTGCCACAACTGCAGGGGAGGTTGGTGAGTTTAATTGGGGTGCAAACCAGCAGTGAATGGAGGGAAACTCCTGCCAGGGAGGGAGTTAACCCAGCCTGGTAGCCCAGGTGTAAGGATATCTGCTTAATGAACACCCAAATGTTTCTTGGGGTCACCTCCCTCCTCCGAAAGCACTCCTTGCTCCCAGCTACCCGCCTGCAGCTGGGTGCACATCCAGGCACCTGGGCTGGTGCTATTGAGCCTTCCTTATCGGACTGAGGATGGCTCTGCGGTATTTGTGACCGCAGGTGCCTGCCTGTGGGGGTGGCTCCTCCCCCTGCCCCCTCCCGGCTCTGCTCCCCCACTCTGCACCGGAGGCTGCGTTTCCCAGGGGGCCAGGTCCTGCCGAGCTTATGGGGGGGTAGTCCCCTGGGGCTGCCTTGCTTGACAGAGTTCCACAAACTGAGTGGCTTAAAACAACAGAGACGTAGTGTCTCACCGTTCTGGAAACCAGAAGTCCCAGATCACGGTGTCAGCAGGACACGCTCCCTTCAAAGCCTCTGTGGGAGGATTCTTCCCGCCTCTTCCAGCTGCTGGTCGCCCCAGGTGTTCCTTGGCTTGTGGCCACATCACTCCGATCTGCCTTCACCTGGCTTCTCCCTACATGTGTGCGTCCCTTCTCTTTCTAGTAAGGACAAAAGTCATATTGGATTTAGGGCCCACCCTACTCCAGTGTGACCTCATCTTAACTTGGTTACATCTGCAAAGACTATTTCCAAATAAGGTCACAGGGGTCTAGGACTTTGATATATCTTTTGAGTGGACCCAATTCAGCCCAACGCAGGGGAGTTAGAGAGGCTTGTGTCCTAGGCTTGTGTCCTTGTCAGTCCTCTGGACACAGCAGGACACCCATCTGTAGGCTGAGGACAGCAGTCTCTTTCCTGCCCCCTCCTGGAAACCATGAGCATCAGAGGAGATGCCCCCCTGCCGTGGGCTGGAACAATCTACTCTCAGGACAGCCCCCGCTCAGGGCTGCCATTCCTTCCAGTACCTGGTTCGCCATCACTGGCCTGCCAGGTCAGGCCCCCAAAGGACGGTTCAGTCCTCTTGGGCCCCAGGTCCACGATGGCGGAAGTGTCCTCATCCCAAGCTAGGCCGCCCCAAGGCGTTTGGGACTGGGCGTCATTATTAAATGTTCCTCCACTCAATTAGGGTTTTCTGTGAAACAACATTTTATTAAAAGACCTGAGGATAAATTACCACCAACCACTAATGATTATATTTAAAAGAGTGATACATAATTTAGAAGAAGGTTTAAAGAAGTTAAAATATCTGGTGTATTTTTAGTTGGAACACTTTGGGTTGCTAATGACAGGAGCCCAGCTCCATGGAGTTTAAGCAGAAAGGGGAATTTATTGGCTCATGACACTGGGAAGTCCAGGGGGGCGTCGGATTCAGGTGCAGCTGGACGCAGGGGCGGGATGGCATCCTCAGGCTGGGCTCCCTGGCAGCTACAGTCCTTTGGCAAGGAACCCACAAGGCCACCAAGGCGCCCGCATACAAGAAGGACGGGCCCCCACAAAGGGACAGGAGGGTTCGCGATGGTTAAACTGCAGGAGCTGTTTCCCCTGGACACTCCATTCCTGAGCCCCTGGCGCCCCTCCCTCACTGCTCACGCTCACCCTGACTCTTCTCGGGCTGGAGTCGATGCAGTGTTCTTAGTCACGGTCTGCCTAATCCTTGGAAGCTGAAGAAGGGACTTGCAAAATGACTCCGAGTCACCGTGGCCTGTGCAAATGAGGCCATCAGCTCTGCCGCCCCCAGCGCTGGAGGAGGGCGAGGGCCAGGCCCCGAGCCCGTCGCCTGCGCCCGCCGTCCTGCCGTGTGCCTGCAAACACTGGCCCATCAGCCTGCTCCCGGGAGAGCGCCAATCAGCGTCTCCACGCCAACGTCCTCCGAGACATTCTTCCTTCAGACTCTCGCTTGATTGCGCCTCGCTGGTTCCCGCCCGTCCTAACTAAGGCGATCGACCCGTCACTCTGCTCTGAGGCTCCGGCCCCACCAGCCCGTGTCCCCACTCAGAGGATGGCTCACGGCATCCGCGTTTGTCCTGAGGCAGAGCTGGGCTGAGCTGGCTGGCGGCAAGTCATAGCCACGCCAACCCTGACCCCTTGTCCGGCAGGGATGGCCCTTCACAGACTGAACCCTCTCGCCCCACCCGCCAGCGTGTCCCTCTGGTCCTTCTCATCACACCTGTGAGCCTGGCATGCACCTGTCACACATGGTTTATGGAGGACAAACAGCATGTCAACACAACATAAAACCCTGAACCCCATTGTATGGGGTGAGCTCTGTGGTGGGGCCAGTCACGTGGGGGTTGGGGTGCCATTTGAACCCATAGCCATTTGGGTGACACATTTCTCAACCTTCTCTGAACCTCCCCTGAAAGATAAGGATAACCCTTGACCCTTGGGGATGGCTGAGAAGATGACATGAGATATCAATTGGGAATGGGAGGTACAAACTTTACTTTTTTTTATTTTTTTTTTTAATTTTTTACTGAGGACCAGAAGCAGAACAGACCCGCCTAAGACCTCATGGCAAGTTGGTGACTCGGGAGTTACAAACTTTAAAGTGCAGAGCACCTCAAAGGGGTCATTGCCATCTTCATCATCATCATGCTGATTAACTTCTCCAGGGAGGTCACTGCACAGGTGACCACCGGACAGGCTGAGCAGGTGCCTGAGGGGACAGAGTCTGCCACAGAGCCCTGGTCACCCAGTGTGGAAGCTAAATTCCTGCAGAAGGAAGAAAAGGCAGGGCCGTGACCCTGGCCCCGGGAGCTCCGCCGCCAGCCCCTGCAGCCGTCCCCGAGTTCAAGGGAATAAGTGCTCGGGGCCTCTCGCAGCCAGAGCAAAACACAGTCATTACAGGGAAATGATAGACACAGGCTGATTGAGTGACTTTCTCTCAGCCAAACCCGAAATTACTTGCGCTATTGATGGAGGTCTAATGGGAAAGGCAAAAGTCCCCCGCAGGGAGCTCTGCTGTGTCCGATGTCAGCAGGGACTGCTGAGTGCCCCCACCCCAGGCCTGGGCAGCCCCGTCCCTGAGCCCTGCACGTTCTCTGGGTTGGCGCTGGGCGTCTCCCCTTGCTGGGCTGTGAGTGCGTTAACCGGCCCCCACCCCTAATATCTGTTACGAGAACCTGTCGCCCCCACCCCCAGGAGGAATCGGCTGCTGCCTCATTGCTGTGCTTTTCCACAGCAGCTTCTGGGCTCTGGGATCCCCTCCTAAGCACTGTTTTGTTTTGTAACTGGTAAAATATGCATGACAGACATTTTACCATTTTAACCGGTTTTATGTGTACAGTTCAGTGGCATTAAGCACATTCCCATTGCTGTGCAACCATCACCGCCATCCATCACAGAGCTTTTTCATCTTCCCAGACTGAATCTCTGTCCCCATTAGACACCGAGTCCCCGTTCTCCCTCCCTCCAGGCTCTGGCAGCCACCAATCTACTCTCTGTCTCTATGAACTGACTGCTCCAGGGACCTCATGTAAGTGGAGTACTTGCCTTTTGGGGACTGTTTTATTTCACTTAGTACAATGTCTTCAGGTTTCATCCATGTAGCAGCATATGTCAAAATTTCTTCCCCTTTTAAGGATGAATGATCTTCCATTGTATATATTCATCTTACTTCATCTGTTCATCCATTGCTGAACATTTGAGCTGTTTCTACCTTTTGACTGTTGTGGGTAATGCTGTTATACACACAGGTGTACGAAAGTCTGTTTGAGTCCCTGCTTTCAGGTCTTTGGGGTACAGACCCAGAAGAGCAGTTGCTGGGTCATGTGGCGATTCTACGATTAAATTTTTGAGGACCCACCAGACGGCTTTCCACAGCGGCGGCACCATTCTACATTCCCACCAACAGCGCTCAAGGGTTCCAATTTCTCCGCATCCTCGTCGACACTTGTTATTTTCTGGTTTGGGACAGTAGCCATCCTAGGGGGCGCAAGGTGGTGTCGCACTGTGGCCATGCTGTCGTATTTTAGGGACCTGCTTCCATGCCTGTCTCTGTCGGGCCACAATCCCAGGTCCAGAGCCCTCGGCGTCAGCACGGTGCCAGCCGCAGGGCTGGAAGTTTGTGGAAATGGCAGTCGGTCCCTGCCGACTCCAACTCCATCTGCCGCCCCCACCTCTCTCCCTCCAGCCTCTTGAACCCGCTGCAGACAGCCGCTTCCTTCCCCAGCGTTTCCGGAGGAGTAGCCTGGCATCCCCCCGCTGCCCGTGCAAGCCACAATTTGCTCTTCAAATTGCCAAACTGTTTACCAACAACAGAATCTCCTCTCCGCCCTGCTGCTGTGCGCAGCCAGTCATTACCCCGTCTGGCCGCCCCAGCCTGGATGTTCACAATAGCTTAATAGGCAAACGGGCCGAATAGCTCAGAGGCTTTAATTAGTCTTCTCTGTTGAACCCGTGCCCTGCCACCGCCGGCTGCAGCCCTGCGGTGGGGAGGCGGGAGGCCGTGCCCGAGACCCAGAGAAGAGGCCTGGCTCCTTCTGGGGACCCCTGGGTTTCCCTCTAGAGGAAAATGCGGCTCGGTCACATGGTGCCAGGTCCGTCCGGTGGACAGAGGAGAGGCCCGCCTGTAAGGACGGCATCCCTTGGGATCAGGCCTCTGCCCGCCCAGCTGGGGGGAGGCAGCAGGGAATGTGGTCAGAGTTCCAGCCAGACTGGGATCCAATCCGGATCTGCCACTTCCTAGCTGTGGGACCTTGAATGAGTTGCTTGACCTCTCTGAGCTTAAATTTCCTCACCCATAAAACAGAGATAGCAATAGCGTCCTGTCTGTTTTGTGCTGCTGTAATAGAATACCTGAGACTGGGTGATTTTTAATGAGCAGAGGCTTATTTTCTCACAGTTCTGGATTTCGGGAAGTCCAAGGTCAAGGTGCCGGCATCTGGCAAGGGTGTTCCTGCTGCGTCATCGCATGGTGGAAGGTGGGAGAAGGGCAAAGAGAGACAAAGGGACCCAAACTCACCCTTTTATAATGGCATTAATCCCACCCGTGAGGGCAGAGTCCTCATGGCCTAATCGCCTCTTAAAGGACCCATTCTTATTTTTTAATTTCAAAGTACCAAGGGGGTACAAATGTTTTGGTGACACGTATTGCTTTTGTAATGCTTGAGTCACAGTTATAAGTGTGCTGATCAGCGGAATAGTGATCAATATACCCATCAGGTAGGTTTTTGTCCCTCCCCTCCCCCTCCCCCCTGCTTGATTTCCACTGGGCTTTACATTCCTCAGTGCACGTGTGCGCTCCTCGGTTAGTTCCGGTTTAATAGCGAGTACGTGTGGAGTTTGCTTTTCCATTCTTGTGATACTTCACTAAGGGTAACGGTCTCCAGTTCCATCTGGAGGCAAAAGGCCTTGATTCATCCTTTTTTATGGCTGAGTAGTATTCCATGGTATACATATATTATACCACACTTTGATATTCCACTCATGAATTGGTGGGCACTTGGGTTGATTCCACATCTTTGTAATTGTGAATTGTGCTGCTGTAAACATTCGAGTGCAGGTGCCTTCTTGATAAAATGAATTTTTTCCCTTTGGGTAGATTCCCAGTAGTGGGATTGATGGATCAAATGGTGGTTCTACTTTTAGTTCTTTGAGGAATCTCCATACTGTTTTACACAGAGGTTTTAGGTCCCACTTCTTAATACTGTGACCATGGCAATTAAATTTCACCATGAGATTCGGAGGGGACCAACATTCAAATCATAGCAAATACTATCTCTCTCCTAGGTTTTGTGAGGTCCCATGGCAGAGATAATCCACAGAAAGCTTTTGCCGGAGTCTGGCATGGTACGTGCCACCAGGAGACAGATGTCCCTGGCTTTGAATCCCAGCTCTTACCACCTCTGGGCATTGGACAAGGCCCCTAACTTCTGTCTCCTCATCCATAAACAGGAAAACGGTGCCCATTTCGCTGGATGTTTGTGAGGATGACATGAGATCCCGCATGTTAAGGTCCAAGCAAATGCTGGACCTGAAGTCCTTCTTGCTAAGGGGTCACAAATGGGGGGCCACTCTGGGGGGTGCCCTGGCCTCCCAACACACTTGCAGAGCAGGGCTGGTG